TATATATATATATGACACAAGATAGTTATAGAAGTTCACAGAACTGATTCTGAAACTGACTTCACTGAAAAAACTGTTTCATCTGAGCATGTGGCACTTTAAGCATTATCGTATCGCATATCGAATATCGCACTATTTAATGTGTTATCGCATATCGCATTTTTCTTCAATATTGCACAGCCCTAATAAATATTATAGTTTCTTGGAATGAATGAGAATTTATTCATATATCTTCAGTTTTTACTTTAATTGTAGTTAAATCGTTAGTAATTTTTTTTTTTTTTATTGCTATCATTTTTTTTAAATGTCTATATAGTTTCTATTAATTTGTATATATTATTTTATTTAGATTATTTGTTATTTTTTATTTTAGTAATTAAACTTAAATTAAACAAAAATGAGCAATGATGTCTTGGCAGTTAGCACATAAGTAAATCAAAATTAAGATAAAGCCATACAATAAAAATGAGTCTTAAGAATGAACTTAAAAGAGGATACAGTAGGAGCCTGCCTAATATCCCCAGGCAGGGAGTTCCATAGCTTAGGCGCACAAAAGCGCAGTCACCTTTGGTAACAAGTCGAGATTTTGGAACCTTTAATAGGGCCCTACTGGAGGATCTCAAGCAGCGATCAGGCTCATAAGGAATTAATAAATCAGAAATATAGGCAGGAGCCTGACACTTCAAGGCCTTACAAACAAGCAACAAAATCTTAAAATCAATTCTAAGACTCACAGGCAACCAGTGAAGAGCAGCAAGAATCGGTGTAATGTGCTGCAATCTTTGGAGATTTCTCTTGCTAATACAAAGGCTGAGCTAAGATCAAGAAGGATTAAAATGGAGTACAAGCCAGCATCGGCTGCAAGCAGTAGGTCATTAGCAACCTTAACCAGAGCAGTTTCAGTGCTATGTTGGGAAAATAAGTTTATTTTATTTTATTTTCTTTTCTTTCAAGTAACAATTTTTTTGCTTTAAAATTTTTACTTTACAATTTACAATTTTACTTTTTTTTAAATTTGCTTTAGTTTTAGTTAATGATAATAACCCTGATGTAGACATGACTTATTTGTGTAAAAGGGAGTTTTAAGAGAAAAAAAATCTAAAACAAAGCTAGAAGTCAATCAAATGTTTGGTTGCACTTTTCACTGAAATTACGTTTCTTATGATCGTTAAAACCTTTTAATCTGATGTTTAAAATAGTTTTGTACACAAAGATAAGTTGTTATTTCATAGTTTTGATGACCTTACTATTATTCTAAATTGTGGATAATAGTGACATAATTAAAGAACAAATTGGTGTCCAAATGTTTGAAACTTCTTTTCATTTTATCTATAATATTAACTCTCACACAGAGAGACCGAGGCTGATACTCTGAGGAAGGAACTTGAGGTGGTGAAACCAGAGCTGGAGCTCATAAAAGTGGAGGTTAGACTTTTGTCTTTATTTACATCTGTCTTGAGAAGCGTTTTCTTCTCCTGTGATTGATTCCCATCATCCGTGTGTCTGCAGGCCCAGCGTGCCGTGGTCCAGCTCAAATCTCAGGTCAATATACTGGAATCTGAGCTTGAGGACCAGCGGACGCACAAACAGATGGCGCTGGTGGAGAACGAACGTCTGCGCATGGAGGTGGAGAGCCTCAGAGCACAGACCGCAGTCGCTGCCAGCATACAGGCCACGGTCGAGGACGCGGGCAGTGAGTGACCTCTGACCCCAGACTCAGATACACAACATATATGCTACTGTTTGTTTGTTTGTTTGGAAGAAATTAATATTTTATTCAGCAAGGATGTAGTAGATTGATCAAAAGTGAAAGACAATAATGCCACAAAATATTTTTATTTTAAATAAATGCTGTGCTTTTCAAGAATCCTGAACAAAAATATATAATGGTTTCCAGCACAACTGTTTTCAACTCTGATAATCATAAGAAATGTTTCTTAAATAGCAGATCAGCATATTAGAATGATTTCTGAAGGATCATGTGACACTGAAGACTGGAGTAATGATGCTGAAAATTCAGCTTTGCATCACAGGAATAAATTACATTTTAAAATATATTTGAAAAGAAACCAGTTACTTTGAATCAAGATAATATTTCATAATATGACTGTATTTTTGATCAAATAAATGCAGCCTTGGTGAGCATAAGAGTCTTCATTTGAAAACATTTTTAAAAAATCTCCTTTTTCAAACTTTTGAATGGTAGTATGAATGAAAATCTCTTGTTCTCATGTTTTCTAGGCAGAGCTCAGACTGCTCAGATACATTTCACTCGACTCAAAGAGAAACACGCTGAGCTGGTTAGCAAACATGCTGATCTCATGCGGAAGGTAAAGACAATTTTGTGCTGCTTTCCTCACATATTATTAATAAACAGTGCCTGTAACTTTGTCACTCACAGCATCAATTACACGATATGTGATCCTCCAGTACAATTATACTTTGACACATTGTGATTGTCTTCCTCAAATTTCTGTTATGGCCTAATGTGAGGAATATTCCCAAAATATGTTGCCACAAGGAGTTCTGCAGAAAAAAGTATCTAAACTTAAGATGGTGAAATGTCTTTGCCATATGGTTATTGTCATTGTTAATGGTCATGATTTTCTGTGTCAGAATACAGAGATGGTGAAGCAGCTCAGCAGCACTCAGCAGGTGCAGGAGGAGCTGTTCACATACAAACAGCAGATGGCAGTAGAGGTGGAACAACAGAAACAGGACAACAGTTCTACGGTCACACTCCACTCATTTATGTTTACATACCTGTCAACCCTCCCGTTTTTCCTGGGATTCTCCCGTATTTTACCAGTATATCCCGCTATCATCCCATTTAAATATTTTCCCGTATTTCTCCCGTTTTTTTAATCTTTCTATAAAAAAACAAAAAATCACACTGGGCGTATTTTATATGTTTGCTACATTCGCTTCCGGTAAAACTCCCGTAATTTGTATGGGCCAAACCTCATTATATGAATAATCACGTCAACAAATTCCAAGGTTGTCCAGTTGCCAGATCTTGTATGAAACGCATCTTTCTCACACGATCGACGCATACAAATTTCAACCCATTTGTCCCCTCAACTTGGCAACCTACAGCCCAGTGATGCTATTGATATGGGCGCAGGTAGTACCGTGGAAAGGAAACAATGATCACTGGTAGAAATGGGAGGAGAAGACTCAGGTGGTGCTCCAGTAAAAAATGTATATGTACATGTATAATGAGATATAGCTTACACTTCAAAAGGCTATTTAATTGATTAAATATGAGCACTGCAAGTTTCAAAGTCAGGTGCTGCGCTGCTTTGTTTGCTGCTTTGTTTACTGCGGTTATGGGGAAAACGGCTATATTCCTGGCGAAAAGCGCCACCTGCTGGCAGATAATGAATTAGCATTTTTCAATAAGCCCTTCTGCTCTTTGTTTAGACCAAAGCCAAAAAGACCCTTATTTTTACGCAGAAAACATGCAGTTGTAAATGTGAACTGGTGGATCGACAAGAAGATAATGAATTATAAAACTCTAAAGAATATAGCCTACACTAAGATATATTTATGTTACTAAATGAATATAATTGTTTGATAATAATTGTTTAAATTAATATAAAAATAAAATAATATATTATAATATAAAATTGTTACTTTTGACAATTTTGACAAAAATCTTACTCACTCCAAACTTTTGAATGGTAGTGAATGTACTCATAATTACTCAAAAACAACAGAAATTGTACATTATCCATTGACAATCAGGTTAGATGATTGAATTGAAACTAGTGCAGATAATCTCAAAAATATCTGCTGATTTATTGGCCTGGCTGAAATATCCACCTGTCATTAACTGAACTGAACTGTAATTTTCAGCTGGAGGCACAGAGAGCAGAAATTGAACGTTTGAAGCAAGAGCTAGCGACCGAGAGGTCTGAAATGTTCCAAGTCCATAATACTTTGCAGAGCAAGGAGAAGGTAGGATCTCTATCAATGTGCATAAATGACTCCAGATTTCTAGATTAGCAACTGAATGCATTAAAACTGGTAAATACTGTAATGTGTCTCTGATCTGTGTGTGTGTTTAGGCCGGAGACGAGTTGAGCAGTGTGCTGGTGGGTCTTCAGGCAGAAAAAGAAACCCTACTTCGTACAGTGAAAGATCAGGAAGCTGAGATCGCTAGCCTGCGTCAGGCCGCCCAACTCCACCAGACCACCCTACAGCAGGAGAGAGACCGACATCAGAGAGAGATGACAGCGCTGCAGAACCAGCTGCAGGAAAAAGTCAGTGCAACGTCCTAATCCTTCCTAATGCCAATTAATATGAACTTACATGCAGGTTTTTGCTGTCATAATTTTAAACAAAACAGCATGAGGTCTGAATGAGTGTGTTTGCTGTTTATTTGTGGTCAGTTGTGTCGGGAACAGGAGCTGCAGCTGGAGATGGAGAAACTGAGACGTGAGCTGGAGGAGAAGCGAGCGGAGCTGCTGCGTGCTCAAAGTGCTCTGAACAGTAAAGAAACCGTGAGTACTTCCTCCTCAGTAGACCCTCTGTTACAAACATATGCAAGCTGTTTACATTTGTGCAACAATGACTTTTTATTTACACAAGCATGCAGACACTAATTGAACATGTTAGTGGGTGACCAATATGATTTTTACAAAATCAAATGCTGATACAATATTTAGAGAGCGAGCTGACTGATTGCTTATACAGTACTGAAATATAATATAATATAATATAATATACCTAGTGCTGTCAAACAATTAATCTCGATTAATCGCATCCAAAATAAAGTATATATTTAAGAAAAATATGTTGTTTATATATTATATTTATATATAATATAAAATATAAGAATATAAATATATATACATGTAAATATTTTCAAAATATATACTGTTATGTGTGTTTATTTATATATTCATAATAAATATACACAGTACACATACACATGGATGCGATTAATAGTTTGACAGCACTAAATATAACATAATACTTGTCAAAAGCATAATTTATTCCTGTAATGGAAGGCTGAGTTTTCAGCATCATTACTCCAATCTTCAGTGTCACATGATCATTTTTTTTGGTCAAATTTTGACACATAACACAGCCTGGCAATTATATACTAAGAACAAAGGATGTGGAACAAAGGATCTCTTTGTCAAGACCTGCTTATGTTTGTCAGTTCACCTACGGTGTCTGGATCAGCACTACACCTTCAAAACTGTACATTCTTTGTGTTTGTATGTGTGTTTTAGACAGGAGACCAGCTGAGCAGTGTGTTAGTGGGTCTGCAGGCGGAGAAGGAGGTTCTTCTACGTTCAGTGAAAGAACAGGAGGCTGAGATCACTAACCTGCGTCAGACCACCCAACTCCACCAGGCCACACTTCTGCAGGAGAGAGACAGGAGTCAGAGAGAGCTGGCAGTGCTGCAGAGCCAAATGCAGGCCAAGGTCAGAAAAGTTAGGGATTGTGGGCAAGATTTCTTCAAAAAATATTCATGCATACATAGTTTGAAAATTCTTCAATAGTATAAGTACACTTTTTAAAGGACTATGATTTGGGACGCTGATAGCTGACACAATACTGAAATATGATAATACCAAACAATAATAGCAAATATTAATATCATATTTTTGTTAATGTAATATTAGCAGTGTTGGGGAGTAACTAGTTACATGTAATGGAATT